GAAAAATGAGAGTTTCATTTCTTCTCTGGCTGAGAAAAGAAAGAAAAAAACGAAAGGAGTAAGGAAAAAAAAGATGAAAAAAAATCCATAGCAAAGCCGTATTGTGAAGGAACTGCCCTGCCCACTGGCTTCGGAAAAGCAAGAGTGCTTTAGTATCCATTGGCTTCCCTGCATCCTCATCGCTGTCTCTCCTGCTGTGTGGCTGCAAGATGGCCCGATGGGCCCCTTTAGTGATTTGATTTCACAGAAGCAAACACAGAGCCCGTCACCGGCCGTTTATCACACTGGCTGACTTCTGCTCTGTAAGCTTAAAAGAGCGTAGCAGTTGATCATTGGAATTCCACCTAGATTTTTCTCGTTAAACTGCTAGCACATTTTATTTCCTTTGGACAGGGAGAGGAGAGATAACATTCCAAACTTGCAAAGAACAAAAGAAAACGAAGAAACAAAAAAATCTTCGAACATTATAACACCCTTCCCTTTTCTCCATTGGGTAAGGCGCTTCAAATTAGGCTGCGGATTTTCTACTGATGTTCAAGCAAATCGAAAGTTTGAAGATGTAATAAAATCACTCTGTTGCGCCAAGGAAGCATGCTTACTCATCTTTGCTGACTTCAGGTGCCAACTCTTCCTATTATGTGTGCAAGGTCAGAGCAAGGTCAAGCCAGGACTGCTTACTAGAGAAGGATCCTAGGAAGCTGGAAATTTGGGCTTCTAATCTGGTTCTATCCCAGGACACAGCTTAGATTCAGCCTTGAAAACCTGAATCTTTTTGTTGACATTTGAATGGAAGGGAAATGGGCTAGCCATCAAATCAATTTATTTAAAAGAACTGTCTTGCTGAGTTCCTGAAAAGTAAGAGAACAGCAGTGAGGGGCAGGGGGAGTGGGGGTGGGATACAGGGAGCCAAGGAGCAGCTTTGGTCAGGAGAAGCCCAGCTATGAAACAGTTGTAAAGGAGGTTTTGGGGTTCCCCCTGGGGATCCCTGGAAGTGGATCGTCTGCCAGAGGAGTCCATTCCTGAGTCAAGGGGTCAGGTCTTGCTGTTTGCTCATACCCACTGGCTATCACTTGAAAGCTGCCCACAGTGAGGCAAGACTTGCTCTCTCCTAGGGGAGGGCAGTTCCCTGGGCAGGGTAGCCAAGAGCAGTCAGCAGCATTACCCTCAGACAGGGATGGAAGATATTCCAAATAACCCGCAACTACTGTGCTGAATGTTACGTGCGTTCATGATTGGCTGCAAAAATGAGGCCCTAGTCAGACGGAAAGGATGCATAAAGACTAGAAAACAGGCATCTGGACAACATGGGGTTAAAGCAATTAGTGGCTAACTGCGGGATGCTCCCTTAGCCCCTCGCCTTGTGCCTCCCCAAGCCAGGTCCTCCTCCGTCTCAGGAGCATTCATCGACAACTTCATCTACCGTGAATCAACTGCTTTGCAGACCCTTTAAGACACGTGTACTCGAACACTGCTTTGTCAATCAGCAACAGGCAACACAATTCAATTTTAAGAATATAGACTTTGAAACCGAATAGACATTGATTCAACCCCCAACACTTGTGGGGCCATGTGCAAAGGACTTAGCATTTCTTAGTTTCAAACATTTCATTTATAAAACGTGACTGACGACATTGACCTCATGGGGTTGAGGCAAGGAATAACCTGGTATGGTAAATGCGAAGGGCTCAATGCATTCTAGCAGTTAACTATGAAAATGCTATCAGATTAATATTAATGGCATTGTATTGGCCACCCAGCCATGTCTTCCAAACTCGGTACAGTCACATTGCTTGGGTGGAAGATGCATGTGGACATTGCCTGAGATGGATCAAATTTTCCTCACAATGGTCAGACTCATCAATGGCACACTCTTCTGTCTCAGCTTCTCTTTACACGAGAAGAAAAGCCAAGATGGAGTTGTCTTATGTTTAGTGATCTAAAACCAGAGGTAGGACTGATGATTTGGTCACTCTGCCTTTTTGACTTTCTCCATTACTTCTGTCTCAGGAGCAAATGCTATAATTTGCACAGAGCAAGGGCCCTGTGGGAGTAGAGACATCGGGGGCAGTGATGACATCATCAGGAGACGTGAAGACCACAGGTGGGCTGCTGTTTTTATAACTTGCTTCTTTTACAAATCCTAGCATTCTCTTTAGATGTTTAAAATATATACTATATAAATATAGAGAGAACTATAGAATAACAATATACACACATGTAAATTAGCATATAAGTTTGCATATGTATATATAGTCAACATTCACCAAGGACATACATATATTTTTAATATTTTTTTACTTAACATCAAGAATAATTATTTTTCCATGGTCAATATTTACTAAAGTGGAAACCAGAGCAGTATGATCTTCCTGATAGTAACTTCAGCAGAAATCAGTATCCACTTATTGTACTCCCAAGAGCCAAAACAGGTATTCTACCATTTTATACATTTTAGTTCTAAAATTAAATGAAAATAAAAGTGTTGGATTTCATGGATACCATGTACTCCCAAGTTTTTTCTACAAAATGTTCGATAAAGTGAAACATTTCTTGTGTCTCTTGCCCCTGTCACCAGCCGGAAGCTCCCTCTCCACAGAGCATTAGAAGAGGTTAAAGGTAAGAAGGAGCTGCTAACGGAGTTCTCCAGAAAGATTCTAACCTGCTGTCATGATAGAAGAAATGCCAGCCAGGAGTCAGCAAACACACTCCCCTGAGAGTGAGCCACTGTTTCCGACAGCCTGTAGCCAGCTGGTCCGGGAGCAGTTTGGGTGAATCCACAGGTCAGAGCAGGAAAGGAAACAGGGAAAGAAGTATGCCCGTGCAGCTCCCAAGCCTGGGCTGGGTGGGGAGGCAGGAGGTGTGTGGGGACTGTCACACGTGTGCGCATCGCTGTGTGTGCACAGCTATGGCCCTTTGTGAAGACCTGAGTCAGTTCATCCCCTGGCACATGGAACTGCTGAAGAAACGCATAGATTTTACATCCGTCTAGTTTTCATTTTTTAAATGATTGAAGTACTACTTGGTCATAACGAAAAGGGAAATATTCAAAGGAACTTACAACAAAAAGTGGAGTTTCTTTTGCTCTGACCACCATGTTCACCTCTAGTAGCAACAGCAGACATCTGTAGTTCATGCACTTCCCAGGAATGTTCTCTGTGTGTGCACACATATAATACTGGCATGCACATACACATCTCTACACGGACAGACACATACACCCACTCAAGTGTGAATGTGCTGTGCACCCTGTTTCCGTCCACCCTCGTCTCCCTCATCTTGCCCAGATTTCCTTATCACGTTACATAAATCTGTCTCATTTTCCCAAACAAAGACACAATACCCTTCGTATCTCGTCACATAAATGTAACATAGGTTCTTCCATCTTATTCCAATGGTGACCATTTGCTGTGTTTGCCTTTTCAAAAATACTTAATGATAAACGCCTTTGCGGTGCTTCAGAGGTGTGTTAAACAGGTCAGTGGAAATGGTGTCTCCCAACAACGTGCACCACATCCAAGTGTGTCTGCAATACAAAACACCAGAAGGCCAATCACTGGGGCAAAGGTTGTGCTCAGGGCACATTCTCATATTTAATCTCTTCAACGTTGACGGGGTTAATATGGAGCAATTACTAAATTATCTGAGAGAGACAGAACCAATGAGAGAAACACATACACACGTACATGTGCACACGCTCACACACACACACACAGACACACACACTGTAAGGAATGTTCACATGATTATGGAGGCTGAGAAGTCTCACCATTGTCTGTCAACAAGCTGAAAACCCAGGAGAACCTGTGATATAGATCTTGTCTGAGAATTAGTGTAGTTGGTTGCAAAAAAGTCTAGTCTGAAGTCAAAGCCAAGTCCAAAATCAAGATAAAATCAACATCCCAGACCGAAGTCAGCCAGGAGGAGAACAGGACTCATTATTTGGCATATTGTTTCATGAAGATTCCCATGGCCTGGAGAGGGCCCACCTACGGTGCAGTGTTACAGTCTCCTGATTCCAATGTTCCTTTAATTCAGAAACACCCTCCCAGCCACAGCCAGAATAACACTCAGCCAAGGCACCTTGTCAAGCTGACATGAAATCATTGCAGAGTTATTCTCCCAAATCTTCAGAAGAGAACAGGTTCTGGCCTCTACTAGGCCCAGCTTAGGGCCCGAACAGAACCTGTATCTCTGTCCTGCTGCATAGAGAGAGCTCTGCTTCCCAGAGATCTGTGCATCCTGAATTTAGGTTTTAGGTTCTTGGTCTTTGGAAACTACAAGACTTTATATTCTATCCTTTGAAACACTCGTGAATATTTTAAAACGGTGTCATCCCCCAGCTGTTGGCACACTGCTGCCTTTGAAAAGTCAGAGTCAACCTGGCTTTGGCATGTGTAATCCTGCAAACACTGATGGTCATTTTGTATCCAAAGGCTTTGAGATCAAACCTTTAGGGACATTCTTTCTTGTGTCTCTCAGCTTCTAGTTAATCAGCAGATTGCAAATGTACCCTTGATGAGTTTTTTTTTCCTCTAATGCTCATCCAGTTTCATTTACAAACGAAACAAGTGGCCTTTGATCACCGACTTTTTGCAAAAAACCCTACCACACTCTGTCCAATCTGCTGCTTCCGCTGTACTCTGAGAGCAGTAGCTGCACCAGAGACAGCTTGACCTTACCGTGAGAAATAGCATTTTATCACGAAACTTGGCAAGGCCTTCAATTTCCTCCCATCTAATATCTGTCAGTCATCCTCACTGTCCAGGAAACATTTTCTCCACTCTCCATGTGAAAAGCTGTTATCTCTCGTGCCAGATACAACTTCTCTGGGACCAGATCATCCTCATCCCGGAGCTCAATCATGCTGCATGTCTGGATCCCTGTGGAAAACCAATTGTGTTCTTCAAAGTGTGGCTGCAAAGGCTGTGGTGCAATACAAAGACACTGGGTCCCCCGCATATGCCATTAAGTCACTCTCCACTCCTCTCAAATTGTGTGCCAATCACTCTGACCCTGTCATACTCAGTGGGCATAACATAGAAGCTGAAATGGAAGAAACGGGGCCTATTTACTGAATCGTCTTGCTGAGCTCTGTATAATTTTATAACCCCTTTCCATAAAGACAACACAGTTGACTTGGATTGATACGGTAAGAACCAGAAGCTCATGAGCGCGCCAGAGCTGGGGCAGGGAAGCATTGCTCTATTAATTAATTTTGCCAAAGTATGATTTGCAGATTAGTACAAAGCTGAAGTGCTGAAGTGATTAGTTAATGGGTTTTAATAAATTTATCTGTCGCCGGGCAGTGGTGGCACACGCCTTTAATCCCAGCACTCGGGAGGCAGAGGCAGGAGGATCTCTGTGAGTTTGAGACCAGCCTGGTCTACAAGAGCTAGTTCCAGGACAGGCTCCAAAACCACAGAGAAACCCTGTCTCGAAAAACCAAAAAAAAATTAAAATAAATAAATATAAATAAATAAATAAATACATGTATCTGTCTATGTATCCACTGTACAGGACATTTCTTAAGTGCTGTCCTTCTCCTGGATCCCTGATTAGTGCCTTTGTCACCAGTGATCCAGCACCAAAGACTACACACAGCATTGCTGGTGAAGAGGCCACACTGAAAAGAGAGTAGCCAGTTCCAGACAGCACGTAAGTAGCTTCTCGGCACCAATATCTGCAGTTATTAAGGGACATGAACAAGGAGACGGTGTGTTTAAAAAGTTTCTTCGTTGCATTTATTTGCGACTGTGTGTACGGATGTGGGGCTGTGTGCATGCCTGCCACTTTGTGCAGTGGCAGTCAGAGAACAGCTTGCAATTGTCAGTTCTTTCCTTCTGCCTCGCGTTTTCTGGGGCTTGAAGTCAGGTTGCTGGTCTTGGCAGCAAGCAATTTTACCCTCTGGGCCACCTCACTGCCCCAAAGACCCCAATTTTAAAGGTGACAAATCTGCCTTTGGTTCCCCATGTCCATCTGTTCTGAGATCTTTCTGTCTGGTCTGTGAGGTATCATGAGAACCATAGCAAAAGCTTGTGACTACTGCAGACAAGCTCAGCTGCACGTGCCCGTATCTAGGACAATCCACGGCGTCAATGAGACGGGGGAGGTAGATTACAGCAGCAAAGCATTTATAGACAATCACATCGTGACATCTGGGCTGTAGTGCACAACAATAACGGAAAAAGGAGAGGAGTCCTCATCACCCACTCAGAAATGAATCAAAATAGGGACCTTGGGTTTGCTAACTGGTGTGGTGTCCTCTTTGCCACAGAATGGGCGGGGGGGGGGGGCTGCTCTAGTCCGAGAGTGCGAACGAAGAGCCTTTACTTAGGCCATGCTGTCTGAGAGGGCACTTCGAGTTTCATTCAGTTGTAACATGTAATTTTACGCACCTTTGCTTCTCATCTGACTTGAGAGTCTGCTCTGATATTCCTTTTGAGACTTGGTTAGTAAGGCTGTCCCTGTAGTACCATCTAGGAGATAATAAGAAATTAAAGCAGTTGAACCGGACGAAAGAAAGCAAGCTAAGCCCCACACATACGATCCTGAACAGGTATCTCCTTGCAGGGCATATGAAGGCATAGGTAGAACAGTTGAGAACTTCCTCTCTGTGTGGTTCACTGGGCAGGCTGGGTCTGTCTTCAGAGCCTTTTCCTCTTCTCTTTGGATCAGCTGAGAGAGACTTCTGGGCAAGGAACCAGAGTGAAGTCCTTAGTTCTGTCGGCAGCACACCAAACACAGAATGACCTTGGCTAGCACTCGGCAGTATTTCTGGAAATGCCTTAGTCATTTCTCAGCTGGGCTGAGTCCAGAGACAAACCTAACTCTGACACTTGGAAACCCTGAGGCTCGATAGACTCTGTTGGCTTGACTGCTCGTGAACTCCCACACGGCCCTCTTGTATTTTAAAGCAAGGCGCCGAAGGTCGGAAGACCAAGTCTTCACCAAGGCAGATCATATAGCAAGCAGTTTCACAGGCAACCAAACAATGAAGGCTTTGAGGGGATTCTGGGCTACTGATGCCTGCACCCAGTTGTGGTTTTGCCTGGATGGCGAGGCACAGAATCGAGCACCTTTGCATCAATAGCTTTAGCACAGGAATGTCAAGAAACAGTGATCCTCAGAACCCAAGGGAAGCAGAGCTGCTGGGTCAAGGTTTGTTTGTTCAGTCAGGCATCAGGAGACAAAACCGAGTCTTGGGAGGCGGCTGTTATCCTTGAGGCTCAGATCTAAATATCCTCCTAATCAAACCATTGACCCAAGGAGCCACTCTGAGCTCCAGTTCTGACGGGGCAAGAGAACTCTGTATCTCAGCCTCAAGAGTGAGTGCTTAGTCTCAAAAGGCCTTGGGCTAGGAACGTAGCTCTGTGGTAGAGCAGGGAATCGCACAGGTCCAAGTCCATGGGTTTGATCCCAAGAATGGCAGCGAAGTTTTAAACTTTTTCCCAAACCTTTCCATGGTTTTTCAAACTAAGAATATTCTTTTTTTTTTTTTTTTTGGCATGGTAACATCTGAAAATATCTATTTAGGACCAATTCTTTATTGTGATCTCTCCACTAAATTATTGTTTCCTGTAGTTCCTGGCACAAGGCACAGGATCAGTCCACCCTCCTGATGCCAGGCCTTGCCCCTCTGGCCCACTTAGCTGCAGTCACCTCCCTCTCACAATGCCATTGCTTGAAAAGGCTATCAACCCCTGAGTTTCAAGCAAGCTAGATGCCAAACAACTCATACAGGGGCACTGCGAGATCTATTTTCTTTCAAAATTCCAAATTCTGTATACCCCAACCTCAACTAACTGCGTGTTCATTTCCTCTGAAAAACACTTGTTTGTGCTTTAGTTGTCCTGTGGAAAGATAACACTGGATTCTTACTTATGAACATAAAATTTGTGGCCCACCTATGAGCGGCAGTGTTCTTTGGGCACCATTTTACGTTCTCTGTGCCAAGGGACCTTCACCATTTGATATCCATCATTAGGCATCTAGATCACACGGAAATCAGGATAAATTCCAAAGCAGCATTTGTCCTGTTTTTAGTATGTGTTCTAATACTTTTTGATAATTTTATAAAATATGTAAAAGGCTTTCATTTATTCTTCAAAATTCTGGTTTATTGTGTATTTTTAAAAATCAAGACAAAATACAAAAGAGTGTAAAATATAAGAAACAGTCTATACCTATGGGTTTTATTTTAAATAAAAAAAATATTACAGATTCGAGCAAGATCCTCCTTATTTACCATTCTTCCACATTGGCTGGAGACAATAGAGAATAAACGTAGCATGTATTCTTAACACATTTGTGAATCCTGTTTTCATGTATCGCTACATATTAAAAGACACCATACTATGAGTGTGTTTTTTTTTTTTTTTTTTTTTTTTTTTTTTTTTTTTTTTTTTTTTTTTTTTTTTTCTTGTTTTTT